CACATATTACTCCTTTTGATGGTATCCCACATGAACCTTAGGTTTTCTTCATTTTGTTTTGATCTTTTTTCTGACTGATCCCTTTCCAAAGAAGTATTCAGGTATTTGTCTTCAATCTCACTAATTCTGTCTTCCATTGCATCAATTCTACTCCTTTGCCCTTTCAATGTGTTACCTATTTCTGATAATTTAGTATTAATCTCTGAATTTCTATATGTAGATTTTGAATCATTTCTAATTTTTCATTTATTTTGTCATTTTGTTCTTATATTTTCTTCTGAAATTCTTCTAGGGTTTTGTCTGTGTTTTCCTTCATCTGTCTCTTGATCCGTTGAAGATACCTATATATAATTCTTTTGAATTCCTCATCAGGGAGTTCCAATGCTGCTGTTTCCTCAGGGATGTGTTTTCTGTATTCTGGTCCCTTAGTTCTCCTGCTTTATCTTGCTTCTTTGTGTGGACTGCGATGCTCTGTGGTCTCCGAGGCACTGTGACATTTTTTGGTTGATATTTAATTGATGATTGTATGTTGGAGTGACTTGCTAACGATTTTCATTTTCTTTGTTTTGTTTGTATGTTATCTACGCAAGCAGGGTACTGTGCTGTGCTCCTCTATTTACTACTTGACAGCACTCACACACTCATCAGCTGTCTCCTTTCCTGTTATCAGCCTCTTGTATGTCCCAGCCAACCTTGGCAAACAGAGCCTTTTCTTAGGTCCCTAAAATTCAAATGAGAATGCTGTCACTTTAAAATCCCAAATAGTTGCCACTTGTAAAGGTTCAAAATGGCTATGCCCTCAGTCACTTTAAATATCCAAAATGGCCACCACCTGTAAACATTCAAAATGGCTGTGCTGTCTGTCATGTTAAATATCCAAAATGGCCAACACTTGTAAACATTCAAAATGGCTGTACCCTTGGTCATTTTAAATATCCAAAATGGCTGCCACATGTAAACAATCAAAATGGCTGTGCCCTTGGTCATTTTAAATATCCAAAATGACTGTGCCCTCTGGGCAGTTGAAAGTCAACAGCTAAGGTCTCCCTCCTTGCTGTTTCCCTTCCTAGTCACAGGCTACCAGCGCAGTCATCCCTGCAGCCCTTGGTGACCAGGGCTGATCTTTAGGTCTATTCTCAGGTCCCAACACCACTTGGAAATATTCAGCCTGTTGGTCCCATCAGGATAGCTGACAGTCCACAGCTTTGACCCTCTCTGTACTCACTGTTTTCATTCAGGTTTTTCCACTAGTTGGTGCCTAATCCACTGCTGGATAGTTCCTTTCAAAGCTCAGTGCTCCAGGATTATCTTTTGCATCTCTGTCACTTGATTTTTCTTTTCTTTGTTGAAAAGGGTCTGTGTCACTTGTCTGCCTATTCCTACATCTTACTGGAAGTTCACCAACAAGTGTTAAGTGAAAGAAGCAAGACACAGACTGATGTCCAACGCTCCCACTAGGTTTCTCTAGAACAACAACTACTCCCATCTTCTCCATTCTCCTACACCTTCCATCTCAGCAGACAATGCAGCTTTTGCAGAGAAAAAGACAAAAATCTTACCCTGAATCTGCGTAAGGCAGAAGTCTGTCAGAGAAGGAAAACTCAAATTCTTTTCCACTAAAGCAAGTGACAGAAAAGTGGTAAGACTGTACTCTTCAAAGGTAGAAAACTTGTGAGTCCCAGAAAAACAAGGTACTCTATCAAGTCCCAGTTCTCACAGGTTCCACTGTATTTGTGAATAATTTACTCACAGGTTTCACTGTATTTGTGTAATAATTTTCAGAACACCTTCCTAAATGTCCAAGTAACTACCACAAGGGAAGGTGTATGGTGGCTCTTCTATGTACTCTTGTGTCCAGCACTTTTATATCACTCTTTCAGTAAATATTTATGAAATCAAACTAGACTGAAAAACAGTAATACAGCAATAGAAACTTCAGCAAAAACATTTTTAAAAGGACATGAAGAGAAAGTTCAGAGACCTGTAAAAGTGTTTAAGTGCACTGGCAAATATTTTAACTGAAGTAAACATAATAATGAAATACTGTTTTTGCTATGTTGTTGTTGTTGTTGTGTACCACTGAGTCGGACCTGACTCATAGTGACCCCTCCTTGAG